CCGCACCGGCTGTGGCCTGCTTGCGCCTCTGCATTGGCTGCTTCATCCACAAAGAATGACCGGTACACACCGACACTGGTGGCGATTGACCCATGCTTCTGATGCGGTGACAAGAACGTCATGTCCTATCATCAAAGGATGGTTGTACACGTCGTGCAACGTGTTATCCGACAGTACGCACGTACTATCCCATCCCAGACGGGGAATAATTTCGCTTCGTGCTCGATTCGCTACGAAACGCAACTCGGCCCGCGCCGCCATGGCCAGAAAACGCCAAACACGGAAAATCAAGCTGAAAAGATGCTCCAACCAAAGCAAAAAGGCCCAATCGAGGCCAAATACATGACTTGTCGCTGACAAGGGAGGTTCGCGGGGACCTAGACCGAACAACATGCAGCAGCCCTAGGCATTGTGGCGTTCTTATCACCACACGCAAATGGCAACTTGTTGACGACGTCGGCATCACTGAGCATCTTGTCAAGCGCCTCATTGTCGTGAAGTGTGCCATTCACAACAACTCCGGCAATCGCGTCAATGTTGTCAATGTTTTCGACCGGATTCCCCCTCAGCAAGACCATATCCGCCATCTTTCCCGGCTCAATCGCCCCCAGCTGGGAGAGCATATTCAGGGACTCGTACGCATTAGTTGTCGCAGTTTGAAGCGCCTGCAGCGGCGTGAATCCCGCCTTGACCATCAGCTTGAGTTCCGTGTGTGTGGCGCCGTTCGGGCAGAGGCCTCGCCCCTGCGGCGTGTCGGTGCCGGCGAGCATCCGGGCACCGGCTATTCGCAAGTTGTTGGCCAGGCCGAGGCGGCTCTGCGACGGCCCTTGGATGAGCGTGCCCGTCACCCAGAGCTGCTTCTCGCCGATCGTCTGGGTGAGGTTTGCGTCGTCGGGCGGAATGCGACTCATGTGCTCGATGAAGTTCATCCCCTGGTCCACGGCCTCTCGCGCGTCGATCGAGTCGGGGACGTGGCCCCCAAACATGATGTTGTTCTTTTGGCACGCTGCTGCTATGGCTTGAAACACGGGCCGGCTCGGGCGCAGGTGGACCTTGATCTTGTTGACGCCTTGCGCCATGAGGTTCTGGACCTCGCTTTCCACTGCTTCGGGATCTTGCAGCCTCTTGACCGTTTCGAACCGCGAGTCCTCGCCGTCGAGCATCTCGCACGTTGTGAATATACGCGGGCCCAGCAGCTCGCTTTGCCCGATTCTTTGCACTGTGTTTTTGACGGCGTCGCAGTTGCTGCCGAGGTCTTGGACGGTCGTCACGCCGTTGGCTAGCAGCGCGGGGAGCACCGAATTATCCGTCGTCGCGAAGCTCGCTGGGTTGTTGCTAAAGTATAAGTGGACGTGCATGTCGGCGAGGCCCGGCATGACGAACATGCCCGTGGCATCGAAATTGTTCTCGGCCCCCGGATTGATCGCTTCGCTTTGCATGCTCACAATCGAGTTGCCGTTGATTAGAATATTCTGCGACTCCTGGACTTGGCCCGTCGCCATGTCGATGACACCGACATTATTGATAGCCAGCGTCTGGGCTTGTATCAGGTTTACATAGGATGACCCTACTACGCAGGCCGCCTGTAGAATCGTTCGTGTATGCATTGCTGTTGTAAATTTGAATTATGTCCACAAAGGGCACAAGTATATGGCGTAATAAAGGAATTGTATGTTTACAATATTGTGGCCCCAAAGGGATTGTTGTAAAGAGCTTTCCGCGAGCACTAGCTTCAACGAGGAGGATGCCGGGGCCTCGCATTTTAAACCGCCAACTTGGTTGGGATCTCTATGCAAAAAGATTAGACGGCTCTTTTGTTCCTTGCCGGCCGGCCCGGCTTCCAGAACGCTACCCATGAGCCCACGGAGATTTTAGGTCGTTGAGGACTGAGATCGGAAACAGCCAGATCTGCGACCAGAAACTGTTGCAGGTTGACGGGGAGAGGGGCCAGAAGCCCCTTCTAACACGGCGGCGGAAGCTTGCTTTCCGCGTCTACAGAGATTTTTAGAGAGCTCTTACAGGAGCTCCGATTGACGGGGGTTATTCTCTTCAGTCTGGATTTTCCGAAAGGTACGGGAGGACGCGAGGACTTGCAAGGACTACGCCCGCGAACGCCACAACCGTTACTTTGATCTAGGTGCTGGAGCGATCTTGGAACTATCCTGCCTGTCGCGAGCAGAATCCCCTGGAAAATAGGCAGGCTCGTGGCTTGTCTTGTAGGGATTTGTGTACATGTGTAAGAATCTGTCGTCTTCCATGTGGTTGATCCCCCCACCTTGATCTTGATGCCGTCTGGGGGAGGTACGGCGCATGCACCTTTGTCTTCTGGGAGCATGGTGTCTAGTTTATCAACTGGCCCTTTCATTAGCCAAAGAGTCACTGGTGTCTAGAATGGAAAAGAACACGGGATTGAAGTCGGGGAAGGAGAATCTTGTTTTCACTCTGACGAGCTCCTAATCACTGGAGCACGATGCTCAATAACTGACTCGTTAAGCGCGGACCATGACACACGTATCATGTATCCGACACACACGCAAAATAATGCATAAAAATTACAATGACTTCAATTTTCTTTTAAACTTTCCCGTCGAAACCAATCATCTTACATGAATCGATACGGTGGACATTGGTCGGTATCAAGTCCAGCTGGTGAGCCAAAAGGCACTGGTCATCTCCAAGCGCGGACATCTTGCGTGAAGGCATTGGGATAAGGTTACATTGAGAATAAAATAAACATTTGCATGAGTTCAGCAGCGTCTTTGTCCTCGTCGGGTCTTATAGTCATGTCGTGTGTCTCATCTGTGTGTGATCCGCGTCATGGTGTTCTCCTACCAAGCGTATGCAAAAGTTAAATTGAGGATGGGAATAATGTCGCCGATCTAGTATGGATCAGTACTATTAGAGGCGAGGTAAAGAGTAATTAACCAGATCAGGTACCTGGTTATTGCCCTTTATATTCTAATATATTAGTATATACTTGTTAATAAAGAAATATATTATACTATCTTCAGGTATGTCTCCTTATACGTAAATATATTAATATATAGTTCTTACCGGATAAATACACTCTACCAGATTGTTTCTCTGTCAGAATGTCAATCAGAGTACGATTGTTATCTACACGGCTGTACAGCATTCTTGGGCTTATACTTCCCGGCGTGAGCACACTGTCGACCTCTCATCGCTTCTTCCGTTGCTTCGGAGTCCAAAATAACGCGATAAGCTTTACAGCTACCACCCTCATAGACAGTCTGCCAGCAGTGCCACAACACATGTGCTCCCAATCGTTTGGATAACGGTTCATATCCAATGCATAAAGAAACGTACTGGTCCTGATGTAATAGGGCTTGTCTGTCCAACCAAGCCATGTCTAACGCGCAAGACAAGTAGGACACTACCCCAAGAATTCCTGGCCCAATTGAAAATAATTGGTTGTCCACAATAGTAGATGCAGCTGAGTTGACATTGTAGCCTAGTCTTGTAAGGGAAAACGGAAGATCTACCAAATTAAGACTCTTGGCAGAGTCGTAAAAACACAGAATATTAGCGGTGGGGCGGTTATCGTCGTCGTCGTTTTGCTGTCGCTGCCATCTTTGTAACTTGCCGTATAAATAAAAAAAAGACGCCGGATTCTCACTAGCACTGCTTCTTTCATATTCCATTTCCTTCTATTTTACAGTTACTACTTACAAGCCACTTTGCGCCTTGCTCTTGTATTCAGGAGAATTTATTGGCTGGACCCATGATTTCAGAAAAGTTGGCACCTGTCGTGTTGATTCCTGCCAGCTGTAACACTCTCTTGGTAGTTGCCCAGGCTCCTGCCCTAGTAACGAGATGACCGGTCGGGGCACAGGATCAAAAATTACCCAGATATCTAGTAAAAACAGCTCCATCTCTCTCCTCTTTTCCCTCTTTATTCTTCTTCTCCCGCAGGACCAGCCACAAAGCTGTAAGTACGTTGCCACGTTTTCCCTTGTGGATTGCCTCGTTGAATGATGAAAAACACTTCCATCAATATCGAATTCCTTGATTTCTGTTTTTTTAATTGATCAAGTGTCTCTTTTCCAGTATGGAAATCCCTTTCCACATCTCCATCACCCACTCAATCCTGCCTCACCCATGCGGCCAATTGACATTTGAACTGTATTTCTGGAACAACTTTGCTAACTTTTACGGTTGATAGATCTTTACCAAGAGTAGTTTTCACGTTTTCCCCCAAGTTTGTGCTATGCTGACTACTTTTCTTTCCAGGTTACCCTTCAAGAGTGAGCAATTACTCCCTCCGTTCAGAGGACCGTACATGAATTGCACACTGACACAGCCATTGAATGCGACAGAACCGATAAAGTTCAATCGTAAGTTCATTTGTCATGCAATCAATGTACGGTAATGCTAACATCATGGTTGCAGATTTACTTACCGCCGTTGTACGTTGACCCTTACCGCTCGAGCCGCTGCCTGAAAAAGACATTTCTCCGACACTCTGAATTTTGGCCTCTTCGCTAACGACTTACAATTTGTGCTCACAAGCCAGTCGAATAAATTTTTGTAAGCCATACAGGTGTCATTTCAGGGGTTTAGGCAGCACTAATATTGGAACGCAGTTTTTCGTACGTTGAACGTGACGCAACTCAGGCTTTCTACGACCCAAATTCAATCAGTCTCATCTTGTCACCTCCAATTCTTCAATTTATACTGACCAATTCATCCTTTACGCTCTAGATTGAAATCATTATTTCGGGACGTAAGTCTAACACGTACCTGCATTTTTGATATATTCATGTTGACCAGTCTCAGCAGCCTCTCTGAAGTACGTGAGTGCCTTGCACCACGATGGCCGACTTGTCGAACACCTCTTCACCGTACCTGCTCATAACCCGATCTCCCAATCTTCTGACGCAAAATTGTTCATTCTCTCTAATTTCTCTCCAAGAAAAATTTGTGAGAGCACGCGCCAAGCCATTTACTCAGACCGACAACTGACCCATCACAACAGAAAGATGTCTCTTCTCCCAGCCCGCGTACGTTGCATCTTCTCTTATCCCATTATAAATTTATATACTGATACCCAACTGTTTTCAGATGGGAGAGTACGCAGTTTCGGCCCCTGGGGCCCCTGCCGCCGCCGCTTCCGCCGCTGCTGCTGCTGCCTCTGCTGCTGCCGCCGCCCCCGCCGCCCCCGCCGCCCGGAAGAAGGGCAAGAAATATGCTGCGAAGCGGCAGCAGCAGAGGTCGACGTGCTACAATTGTGGCCAATTGGGGCATTATGCCCGAGACTGCCGGCTCCCCCGCCACCCCGCCGCCGCCGCCGCCGCAGCGCCACGTGAGTATTATGTACCCTCTGGGTAATAAAGTATTTTAACTAATGAATAGTGTACGCCGGCGTTGTTAATAATTTTTTTTTCAGTGGCTCGGCTGGTGTTTACCTCAAATATATACGGCTGTTGTTCACGTAAGCTATATGACATGACACACCAGACTCTTATTTAAGCTCTTGCTAATGAAATACGGGAATTTAGGGGCCTTCGGGCACAATGCCTCCTGGTGGCCCCCCAGCCAATCCAAATGGGGGGGTGAAAAAGAACAAGAAGAAGAAGGCCAAGGCCGAATTGGCCAAGAAAGCCGAGGAGGAGGAGGACAAGAAGAAGGTCAAGGAGGAGGTGGACGACGAATTTTTTTAGTCTTTTGTTGGTTCTTTTTTTAAAGAAAATATTACGCGGGTTTATCGGGCGGCGGGTATTGACTTCTTAACACGCGCTTTGTGATATCATGTCCTTGTCCAGAAAGCATCAGCAAAGTCCCTGCTCCTTTATATTATTGGCACGTTTATCCCAGCCGCTACATTTGATCTATTTACACTAAGCTACCTGGAGTTTAATTTTGTCTAGCGTAACAATAACAACAACAACGACAACAACAATAATAACAAGAGCAATAATAACGAGAACAATAACTATAGTAGCAATTTCAAGAATTTTGATTTCTTATTTAATTCTTCTTTATATAAATTAAAGGATATCCGTGATTTCTTTGCCAAAATAGCCGCCTCCTGTCTAGTATCAGATAAAATTGCATCCCTTGATAGCGATGACGAGATTACAGATTTAGGCAACCGCGTCAAATCTTGGTACCGAGACGGATGAGACAACGTATACGTCTTTTCTGCTGTCTCGAATCTCCAAAGGCTGAATGAAGAGAAAGCTCGTCCGATTTCTGGAAACGGATCCATCGGCTACGGACATGAGCCTCGTGCCACTTACGGACTTTACGAAAAAGCCGTCACAGACAGGGTGGGACATCCATTGCTGAATCATGTCGGGACTCCAGGACGACTTTTGTGATAAGATGAGGATTGCTGGAGGTTGGAAAATTTCACCTCCCTATCCCGAAAATAGCTGCTCCATCCGGACTGATGAGAGCCAGATTCACGGTTTTTGGCATTATCCTTCCAAGGCATCCAAGATTGGGTGTAAAGCCATGCGACCAGGCCTGGCAACAGAACCGTTCCAATTCACAAGGTGCAAGTATTGGTACCATTGTACCGTTATCATTGGATTGACTAGAGAGTAGGCAAATTTCGAGAGTCCCCCCCCTCCCCGGGAATGCTCAAGCGACGTAATGCGGAGGATTTCGTCTCGGTGACGGACAACAAAGTATAGAAAGACATTCGTCAATAAGATCAACACGATGCTTTGGCCACATGGTGTCGGTCGCTAAATCGCACGCCGCCCATACCAGGATCCGCGTCTGATGTTGATGATGCTTGGCGGGAAACCCCAGCGGACAGTTGCTTATTGTAAAGACGGACCCCGTACTTCGATACTCTAGTATTCGTAACAAAAGAAAGGGCAAAAGGTCCTTGTCCGGTTAAAGTCGAAATTGGTGCGTGGGCCGATTTGCATGGTCTCCTGAATACAGACGTGTTGGAGGAGATCTGAAGCGACAAGCAGGCCTGGCAAATGCATTACTCTATCATGAGCGCTTTTTGACGCTTTTCGCCCAATCAATTCGCACTCAAACGACCCGATTCCGTCGAAATCGACGTTGCGCTCAGCATGCAAGCTCCACAATAGCATTTGTGCATCGCCTTAAACTAGACCAGCACGCTTCATGATGCGTTTGACGATGCCCAAAGAGATGTTGAACCTACCCGTGCATAGAAAGAATCTTTCTACTTTGGTCGCTGCAAGGCCTAGAATATCGCCTCATTAATTTATTTGTGTTTATTCTGATGTCTCCCAGAAGCCTGTCCCACAGGACCTTTGTCGCAATCATTACAGCTCGTGAGAACCATGATGCCCAAACCATGGAGTGTTGCTGGAGAGCGCGTGGCAAGGGGATTCACGACAAGATCTCTGGTTTCAACCTACCGTGCTCATAGGGCCTCAATAAGAGTGATTGGGAATTGGCGACGGCGTCTAATTTAATTCAAGCTACATTGTCTTCAGTTGCTGCCAGCCCGCCAGCAAGTTGTCTCTGGAGACAAAACTACCTGGGAAAACAGCGAGCTCTGAATCACTGGCGAGACGGGTGGCTGGCCATGCTCTTGAGTGGATGGTCAGCCATCAGGATAGTGAAAACGTCGTGGCGAGGACTTGCGATCGATGAGGTTTGACCAAGATCAAGCCACCGGTCTTTGGGTCTGGAAACGGCTCTGGAGGATACGAAGTCCTCTTAAAAGGGACCACGAAAAGATATCCGCATTAGTATGAGTATCCAAGAGCTTTATCTGCAGGTTGCTAATCAACCACGAAAGAGGTCTCAAGCAGCGTGCGATGAGAACCGAAAAATTTGGGTATTAGTTCCAAACGCGATTCGCGCGACGATTGGCTCCAGCAGCGGGCGATTTTCCCTTCTTTAGCCCAAACTTTGGTCGCTAATTCCTGTTGTGTATAATTATGAACTGTGTATATTTAAAACTTGAGCCCCTATCAGTATGCAAGACATCATCATATGACTATTGTTAGCTTAAACTTCAAAGTAAGGTGGGGTTGTGCGCATTTTCTCAATATACATAGTTCGATGCTATGACACAAGACTCGTAGTGGGAGGCAAAACATTGAGGGGATGCAAATAATTCAAGTACCTGGCTGTCGCGCTCCATATTATGATATACTGTAGTATACCAGGGTATACTACTTAAGTACTGTATCTGCCATAGACTGTGCATTGCGACGCTGAGAAGCGTGGGTGAGGGAATGGGGGGAAAGTCGCTCGATATCTTCTTGCTATCCAACTCACTATTAAATTCGGAAAAAACTCACCAGGGGATAGCTGCCATGTGGTGCTCCTTTCCTGTCACGTCCGACTTGGTGAGTTTGGGGATTGTCTAGGGTAGGCTGATTCAGTGTTCTACGGAGTACGATCGGTTCCGACCGGAAGAGAACTTGCAGCGCATCAAGGTATGTTAGTTTGCGGAATGTGCTATTCATGTCCCATTGCCTTTGGTTTTGCTTTGCATCGGGCAATTTGCGCTTGTGTCGTTATTTGACGGCGGCGTTGGTATAAATGGTGCAAGATGTAGGACTGTCAAGTAAAGAAGCCTTGAGTGACACAAGAGTGCATGCAAGTCACACCATGACTGGGGGGAGAAAATATTCACAGCGCACCACGAACACGTGTGTTTCATGCGTGACCTTGAGGGCTGTATTGATTTATGGATTTTGTCGTACAGTACTGATATTGGCGCGCGTTACAAGTTTTGATTCCCGTTTCGCCCTTGATAGGTCGCGACAAGACAGTCTTCAGCTACAATGGCAAAAAGAGGTGCAAAATAGAGGCAAATGAACAGCAAGACAAAAAAAAAAAAAAAAAGAAAGAGACAGAGAGAGAGAGACTCCCCCCGGTGTACACAAATTCCCAATTACTGGAATAGAAAGGAAAATAATCAGGCAGCAGAATTCCTGCAACAGCAAGTGGTTCGATCAAACCCAGCGTGCCCAGTCAAGATGTTTGCTACCAGACCACATTCATGCTTCAACCCTCTTCGTTCAGGTCATGAGATGGATCATGGATTGACCCCAAGTGCCTCACGACGCGACACGTTCATTGGTTTGTGGTAATGGATTGCTCAGAGTAAATTGCATTATGGCCGGGCCTGTGCTGCCATTGGATGATTTTGCACCGCGATGGTGCCGCAGGGTGCCTCAGGGTGCCTCATTGTGCCTGAGGCAGAAGTACCGATGTGGACGGGCCGAGAAATACGCGGCTGGTCTGAGGAATACGTCTTTGGTGAGAGTGCTGGCACGGCGCTGTGATGCCTGGGGACATGGGGAACAGGGGTTTTGTTCTTTTGTTCAATGTTCAACATTCAATTTTTTTCTAGACAGTGCTTCTGTCGGTATTAGATGGACCACCGCACTGTATGCGGGCATATTTCTCAGCCCACATTGGCAGGACCAATTTACAAGCACTGTATTGTGCACTGTCGTAATAGGACTAAACAAATCGTATATGCACCGTGCGCAGACCGTCTCCGTGCGCGTAAATCCCTGATCGCCATGCACACTGTATCTGCATCTAGGGACCTGGTGCCAGATTCCGGGCTCGGGACTCTGGCTGTCTCGCATCCGGCCTGGACATTAAAATTGATGCCTCCAGTCTCTGCTTCCGCCTCCACACAGCCAGCCAGGCGGCATGACATGCACTTCAGCCTCTTGTCCGCCAGAATAGACGTTTTCCATGTCCATCGCGACAATCGTCTCCACGGGCTACCTCAAGTGCGGACGGGAGACGCTCTAGCTAACATCGCGGCCACGACCGAGGCTGCGGAGCGCGTGCTGACTTTGCTAAAGGGCAGCCTCGCACGTTGGCTTCGACTTGGTGAAATTTCTCCTCTGTTACAGCTCTGGCCGTTCCATGCCCGGCCTTGGGTGAGTGACTTACTGTGAACTCAGACCAGGCCCTCTCTCTCTCTCTCTCTCTTTCTCTCGCCCAGCCCCCAGCCCAGCCCAGCCCAGGCAAAGGCGAAACTCTCCGTCCACCTTCACACCATCTCTTCCCCCATCATCATTCATCCATATCCATTCTTTTTTTTTCTGTCGCCTTCATTCCTTGCTTTGCCCCCATCGCGCACATCGCTCCTCACCGCGAATATATCCTCCCCGTCGCCTGCAGCTTTGCGCATTACCTCTGCTGCTCCGCCCTCCGATTTGCTTCGACCGCCGCGACCGAGTCTCTCACCCCCCTGCCCTGCCGTTCTGCGTCTGCCGTCCGCCGTCTGTCGTCTGCCGCGACTGGTGTCGACTGACTGACTTTCGCCCCTCTCACCCGCGCCACGCCAAACGGCCACACCGGCTTGAGCTGCTTGGACTGTTTTGCTCTGTGCCGTCGTCGTCTTTTGCTCCGCTACTCACGGCCTGGCATCGGATTCGTGGGGTCCTTGAGGCACATTGTCTTTTTTCTCTTGACCTCAGTCCTCGCCGGGCGTCCGCTGTCACCGTGATATCCTCACCTTACAACCCCCCCTCCACCGGCTCGCTCGCGTCGCAGCTACTCATATACACGCCGTCATCATGGCCATGAACCCGAATATGGGCATGGCCAACATGAACCCCATGGGCGGTGCTGTCGGCGGTGCGCCAATGCCCATGATGAACAACGGTGTTGCCATGAATCCTCAGCAGGCTGCTGCCGCCGCCGCCGCCGCGAGACAGTCACAGCTCGACAGCCAGCGCGGCGT